CCCCAAAAAAAAGGTGCAGCCAAATTACACTATTGACAAGAAACAGTGTTTTGGCTATATATGCACTAATGCGTACGTGGATAAATATTTATTTTATCTACCTGACTATAAGAAAGGGATATAATGCATAAAATAAAAATGAAAATGCTGATTCTAGTATAGCAATGCTACTTTTAGGTACAAGTTTTCTAATATTACTATAGGGCATTTTCTGTGGTCCTCCAACACAGGCTCTCATTATAACCGGTTAACATAATTCTCTTATATGGAATCATATAATAGTTACTATTTTGATAATCATAAGTCATTTTTAAGCATATGACAATAAATGACTGTCATGTACTGTTAAAGAAAATGTTCATACATGACCAGATGTACCTATCAAAAAGAGAACACGACAGATGTAATCCTTAACGACAAGATTATTTATGTTTAGAAAAGATAGTTAGTTACGATGAAATGGTTGATATTAATAGTAAAAAAGACAAATGTACATATTATGATTTATATACATATTATGATTTATATAAAAAAAAGGACAATCGTTTATTGATGTGATTTTTAATATTTATGTAATTAATTATAACATGTGTATATGGCAGTCGTTTATTAACATATACTTATAAATAATAATTAGTTTTTAAAATAATAACAGTTACGACTCAATACATAAGAAACTTATATACTAATTCTTCAGCCGCTTACAATAGCACATGTGAGTCAAGTCTTCTAGTTTCAAACTGAGAGACTGTAAACAAGTCCTTATTGTAGAGTAAAATTTTTTTTTTCCTTTAAAGTTTCTCTTTCATTTTCATCCCAAAGTTTGGCAAAGTGCACTATTATGTGGGCAACTTCATAATCAGTTGTGACTAGTTTCATAAATGTCCTTCATGATAATCCAAAATGGCCGAGCACTCATTATAATAGACTATTATAGCTATAGAGATCATTATTAGATAGGGGTCTAACTCTAAACTAATCAACCAATCATTTTTGTCAGAAGCGCTTTTTGTCGGTAGTTTGGAAAGAAAAGTATATATATGACACTGGGAGAAGTGTACCGTGGACATATATGAGGGGCCATCCATCTAATCAGTGGATGTATTTGGTATATGAAGTTAAATACATGGAGACACGATTAATAATCTCAAGTTTTGGACAGCTATTTGCATGGGTGTTTGCAGGGCCTATTGTCTGTTCTTTGGGGGAAAATTTTTAGTAAACCAAGCCGAAAAGGAGGGGGGGCCTTTCTAGTTCTGCCAAGTGGAATCACCAATGAGCTTTCTTGAATGAACGAATTTCTGGGTTGAAAAGATGTTTGTCTTGTTTGGATATGCTGAAAATATCTAGTAATGGTACCTTGGTGCAAAATATGAAAGATGTGATGTGGTCGTGTGGGAACTCAAAACAAGGACTTCCCTTTGGATTTTTGCGATAATTTCTTCAAACAATAAATTATTAGACCGCGTTCATTATCCGAAATGGAAGGCTACTGATGTTAGACTGAAGACATTATATCTTGAATATCCGAAATGTATATATCTTCGATAAAAGTAGTGTATAGTACGAGTGAAAACCATGCTTTGGATTAAGCTTAATTACGCAATATAATGTAGTATTGCTACGGTTAGTATCTTACAACAAACAGTACTCACATACTACGTACGTACAATACAAGTAGTGTACAGTACTACTGCTAGCTAGAACTTTTTTAATCTGTAGTAGTTTTTAATATTTATATACAATACAAACCCATGCTTTGGCTCATTACTAATTTAAACTTTGATGGCCTCTGAAGTTTTAACTTTCGTGAGGCAAGCAGTAATTGTTCACTTGTTGTGTTAAAGAGTAGCTAGAGTTTTGTAATTTGGAAGGCCAATAATAATGGAGATCCAGCGACAACAAGTAGGTACATTGATTAACAGTGACAATGTTACGCATGTTTGATTGATACAAATCAAATGAAAAAAAAAAAAACTCTAGATATATAAATATATATTATTAAAAATACGTAGTTTAACATTTAATTCGAAACACAAAATTCAAATGTGACAAATTTAAGAGATTTCAGGTGCCTAATCAATGCACTCTCATAGCCTCAATAATATCCTTATCAAATCCAATTACTTTTAGAGAGAGGAATTAATCTTAATAACGTTCGTTCAATATTTATCATTTTGTATTTTAAGTTCATGATTTCCATCTTGTGGAAACGATACATGTTATGATTCAGTGATCCAGATAACATAGTGACCAATATGCCCACATCTCAGGAACTTTATCAGATAAAGCTATAATTATTACTTGGTATACATTTTCTCTCGAAATATCTTGTTACTATACATCATGTGACAGCTATTTGTGATCGAGCATATATGAATTTTCCAAGTACTCTTCGCACTTTTTCTCGCTTTTTCATCCTCAACTACATCTAAAGCTCTAAGTGTCATTTTGATGTACGTAATTAGGTCATGTATAAACGAGCATATATGAATTTTCCATGTGCAACAGGTATTAATATGGACCATCCTTTGAGTTTGACTCGAATAATTTTCTTTTTTTACAGATTAATTATGACGTGATCGAGCATATTGGGGGGAGAGCCGCCGACTGCCAAACCCACAAAATTAGCTGAATCAATATATATATATATATATATATATAACTTTATATAACGTAGTGACACTAATCCTCATGATCATTAGTTACCTAATGCGTCTATCTATACAAAACATGTAATATATATGTACATGATATGTCCATTGACGGTGATGGGTTTTTGCAAATTGCCACGACCTTGTCCTGTATAAACTGTTCAGTGAAAAGTCCTTGTCTACTTCTTAGTTTAACGACATTAATATTATACGAAGATTCATCTGAGTACCCCTTTTTAGCCAATAAAAAAAAAAAAACCAACCTCATATGTACATAAGTACCGTATAAATATATATATATATATATATATATATATATTTGTGTGTGTGTATGTGGGTATATGCTATGTGCGGTACCACTATTCAACTATACATACATAATGTTCAACAGAGTAAAAACGTGAAAATGAAGAAATTATTAGCATACTCCAGCCAGCTGCGCCAAAAAAAAAAAAAAAATGTCAGAGATCTGAATATATAAATTAAAGCAAGCACTTCGCACCATCTCGACGATTAAACATTGGATAATTATACAGGTCCACCGAGTGGAGAAGTGGCATATCCACAGATTTATTATCTTCCGAAAACAGAAAGTGACACATCGAGCATCAAGTGGTTGGAGGTATGAAAAACGCAAACACGTAACCCCATATGATATGATATTTATATATGAAATACATATATACATATATATATATATATAGCTTTGCTAGTCAGTCATACATAAAAGTCGCACATGATCATAAATTAATGCACATTCAGGTACAACAGCTACGTACGTATATATATTGTACATACAAAACTTTATAATAAGCCGTGTGCTATAATATTCTATAGCCTCTCTATATAGCTATGTTAAACCAAAACCAACATGCATTTGTGACTTTCCTGTAATGCACACAGCTTAACAGAAAACCACTTATAGTTACAAATGTTAATCTCTATTAAGGAATTAGAATATTATATCAAATTCATGGGCCTAACTATATTGCTAGATACCAAACTCCTAATCATATATATTGCGGTAATAATTATATTCAGATAGGAAGCAGATATGACAAAGCCCTGGAGGGAGAAGAGACTTTTTGTATGCGTAAATAAGTCGCAACCTAGTAATCACCCACTCGCATGCACTGGTCTCCTATAATTTAAGCGCTCCCTCTACAATCATCTTCACCATGTCGTTTCCTCTCTCTTTGTAATTTAGCTTAATTTCAAACGTGACCTCTGAAGATTATGAACTGGGTCTTCGCTTTGTCCCTACAACTCAAAATGCAATAAATCTGCACCTAAACTTATTATAAGTTGCGATTTTGATATTTCAATTAGTAAAATGTTAATTTTTAACTGTTTTAAGCACATGTATGAGTCACGTGATTAGTTAGTAAAAGGTAACATAGGAGAGCCATGGTGATGCAGGAATTGTGGGTGACACATAAGGTTAAACCAACAAATAATTTGTAGTTTTTTAAACGTTTTGAAAATTTTTAACATGATTAAAATTAACCATTAAAAATTTGACGTTGTAATGACAAAAGTACTAAAATTGCAACTTATTATAAGCTCAAGGGAAAGTTTTGTGTCATTTTAAGTTGTGAGGTATAAAGTGAAACAATTACTACTATTTAGGGGCCAAATTCAAAATTTAACCTTCTAATTTCTTTGACATTGTAGTAGTAAAATCGCAGCTGTCCAAACTTATCTCAGTACCCATCGCTTATATGTTCACCTATATATATGGCGAGCTAACATTCCCAAAAGTGTGTGCACAATTACACATTATCAAACACTTGTCAAAATTAATTAGAAACCAAACTAGCTAGCTAGCGACACACTAATTATGGCCAAGTTCCGAGGTGCTTCTTCTTCTTCTTCTTCTAGTGGCAAGAAAAAGATCAACAGCATAGCCGAGAAGCTGCAAAGGAGTCTCTACTTGGTTAAGCCAAGACCATCTTCATCAAACGACACAAATGCAGTCCCTCAAGACGTCAAAGAAGGGCACTTCGCGGTGATCGCCGTCAAAGGAGATGAGCCAAAGAGATTTGTGGTCCCTTTGAGCTGTTTGGCGCACCCAACTTTTCTGAGGCTGTTAGAGCAAGCAGCCGAGGAGTATGGCTTCGATCGCGAGGGTGCTTTGAACATTCCTTGTCGGCCATGTGAGCTCGAGAAGATATTGGCAGAGCAATGGCCCCAAACGACATCCGATGAATCGTCGTCGTCCTTCAAGTGGGGTTCTTGTAAAACCCATGGTGCAGAGCTACTAGTCAAATAATATTATATTTTGAACGTAGCTATTCAATTGATTCGGTGTTTAATTGTGACACTGTTGTGTTCATTTCTATGGTGTAGTTTTTTGAGGTACTAGGTTTTGTCTCTAAATAACTTGCCTTTAGTTTTTGGCTAACTGGCTGTTCATTTTTTAGCCGTATTGATACTGATCAATATATTTAATATTTGCGTACGTTTCTATGCATTTCAAACGGCTTAATTGTTATAATGACTAGCCTATATATGTTATTGTTTCCAATTGATGTGGTTGGTCGTGTAATTAGTATGAAGTGGATATATTAGTACATTACTTGTCGCCGGTTATTTTCTTAATTAGTTTATTTCGAAAAGTTATATCCAAAACTTCTTTTTTTCCTTGTCTTTAAAATAAATTTAACAATGGCAATCCGGATCTAGACGACAATACATATAGGACCTATTAATTTAAATTTTTGATAGATGTCTAAGAGAACTGGTGTCTTGCATCGATAGGCTGAATTATTGGAATTTAAATCACGAGAGCCTTTACGGTGCACCCTGTACTTCTGCTCCGCCGGTGGAACATTATTTTTACAACCACTTGATTGTAAACTGATGGTAAAAGATGGTGCGTATTCATATTGTCTTTTTTAATTCGCATGTTGACTCTTTTTTTCAAGGGTCTTGGTAGTCCTTGAAATAACTTTTAAAAATAATAGACACTCCCTTAACAAAATATAATTACGTCAAACCCCGACTTTTTAAAAAATTACATAGACGCCTCCACTGATAGTTGACCGTGAAAGTTAGAAAAAGTTTGACCGTTAAATTTTTCTAAAATGTCAAAAACACCCATTTGCATTAGAAAAATATTTTTAGCTATGTATAACCTCAGAAATTGTGCCTTTACCCTTCTTTAGCATTAAAAAAGAGTTTAGTTATTACACAATTGTAATTATAATTTTCACTTCAATAAAAAAGAAAATATTTTTCATCTTTTTCTTCAAAATTCTTTGTTTTAGTAATGTTTCCTATCCACAAAAGTAGCAAATCAATTAGAGATGCAACAATAGGTCGGGCCCGTTGGTCGGCCCAGGCACATCCTGACACAGTGACGAGTCGGGCCGGCACGGCTTGTCACTGTTCAAGACACAGCCCAGCTCATAAATATTGGTGGGCTGGGCTGGGCCAACATATATCAGTCCATGAGCCGGTCCGGCACGGTCTGTGAAAAATCATGGGCCAAGCCGGGCTTGGGCCAGGATAGGCCAGCCCGTCTAGGCCCATGATGGGCCGGCCCAACCCGGCCCGTCTAGGCCCATAATGGGCCAGCCCATTCCAGCCCATCTAGGCCTATAAATATCTTCAGTTTTTTTCTTTTTTTTAGTAATTTTGTCAACATCTTATTTATAATTATCCTGATTGTACTTTTTTTTCCTTACCAAGGCTTTGTCCTACTGGGTTTTCCTTATAAAGGTTTTTATTTAATGAGGTAATCGTAAATAAAATATTCCTTTTCATATTTCCATTAACTATTCAAACTTATATATTTGTCAACTTGTTTAAAAATTAAAATTAAAAATTAAAAATTGCATACTTAGATGGGCTGACCCATCTAAACTCCTGATGGGTCAAGATGGGCATTGAGTGGGCCAACCCATTCAATGCCTATGGCACGGCCCATCCTGGCTCGCGGCACGGCCCAGCCTGACCCACATAAAATTAGCCCGTGGTGTAGGCTGGACTAAGGTCATTTTTATACAGGCTGGCCCAGCCCGCGTAAGCCTAAAAAGAACGGGACAGGCCAGGTAAAGCCGGCCTGTTCTTGCATCTCTAAAATCAATCAAATTCTATCACATCATTTAAAAAATTGAAATATCTTTTAACTAATTTTTTCTTCTGCAAAGTCATTTAGATCATTCCTATATATAATTGGGGCCCAAAATAGATTTGCCGTGTTAGAGGAAGGGACGACGCAGATTTTAACCGTCCCCCAGTAACAAATCAAATTAATTTGCTGTGTTAAAGAAAGTGATTTCTGCAATATGTCTAAGTGTACCATCTCATGTTTTGTTTCTCGTTAAATCTCCAGTGGTGTCGGCCAAAATAAAATTACATTTTGTCCCATATCAATTATAATGTAAACAAAAGGAGCCCACTTTATTGATGGGTACTTTCATGGAAACAATTATTTTAAAGGCAGATAAATCATGTATGTGTGTGTGTGTGTGTGTGTGTGTGTGTGTGTGTATATGTATATGTATTTTGTACATACGTATTTTTAGAAAAGGATTGCGTGTGTGGATTTTTTTCCTAGTTAAAAAACAAAGATTAGTGGTGTCTTCAAACTCCCACTCAGAGACGAGGAGAATCAAACTCTAATACTGTGTTTAAAATTGTTCTTGTTTTTATTTTTCACGTTTTTTATGCAAGAAAAAATGAAAGATTTTAAAACAGCGTTTGACAAAATTAAAGATAAAAAATAGAAATAAAAATGATTTTTAGGTTTAAAATAGGAGAGAAATGAAAAAAAAAAAATTTATTTTCGTTTTCTCCTCTCTCGAGTAGAGAGAGAGACATTAATGGATTTTTTTATATTGAAAACAATCTCTTGATAAAACTACTAAATGTATTTTATAAAATGATTTCTGTCTAATATTAAAAACGTTTTTATTTCTATTTTTATACAAAAAATAAAATTATTTTAGAACGAGCTCCAAACGTGACCTAAATAATATGACGCAAATAATAAGAGAGAGAACTATAATAAGTTACTCTTACTGCCGTGCCACTGCCACCGGTAGTCGGCGTGTGATATACTTGCGTTTTGATAATAAGATATATTTAAAGCAAGGCTGGCGATATTTCATCAAATTTAATTTAACTGAAAAAAAAAGATTTTTTTAAAAGAAAAAAAAAAGAAGAAATTGTAGGCTAAACAAGACTTTCTCATTTTTTTTTTTTAAATAACATTTTTACAGTTAAAAATTAATGGAGCTCATAGGTGTTAATTTAGGACTAATTAGGAGTAGGAATCGTGCTGTATAGTATTTTGTTCTTGTGAATTCGCTAGTTTACGTTGCCTTGCATTGTAATTGTCAGGTGAAGAGATGAGTGGGAAGCATGTTGATCATGATTTGAATATTCATGGTTTGTTACAGTGTTTTCTCTCACAAAAAATATACTTAAATTAAAAATAATTCTAATCTCATGATTTTAATCTATGAACCAAACATATCATAATCATGCATTTTTTTCTCCTTTTTTTTTTTTACAATAAGCAAAAAAAAAAAAAAAAAAAGAAAAAGGAGGTCTTACAGGCTAAATCATGCCCTAAGCAGTGTTACAGTACTTTACAATTGGGTCCATTTGTTTCTTTTCTCAGTTAGAATATACCATATACGACAGCAAGACTCAAATGAGACTTACGTACTATAAATCTTTTCTTTTTCTTTTATTAGTAGACCTATGTACTATACTATCAACTATTTAATATTTATGATATTTGGTATGAGGTTTCGTTTATAGTTCATGATTTATTATAATATTTTTTTTCATAAAAAATATACATAAATTGATAATGGTTTTAAATCATAGTTTTAAATTTATGAACTAAATGTGCATTTACTGTTTGAGTAACAAAGGAAATATACGTGTGTGTGTGTGTGTGTGTCATTCTAAATACTAAGACTTGTTGACTTCTTGGACTAGAAAGCAAGTTATTTAGCAGTGTTTACATCAAATTAAGCGTTCGGAATTCTTTGGGAGAAGCTAAATCCATATGGTTTTTCTTTCTGTTAAAAGTCATATCACTCATTTGGCTTCTCTGAAACATAAAGAGCTTTCAAAAAAATACGATTAAACTTATTTTGATAGTTTAAGTAGAAACTATTTTTAGATATGTAGTTTAAGTTTTATTTTAAATAATAAATAACATGAAATCTCATTTATTATCTTTTAAATCTATATTAGAGACGCCAACTCTAATCTAACTTTAAATTATCATTTTTTTATTGACATAGTTATTCATATAAATCACCACATTATCTAATAATAAAAGTGCATGTCATAAAAAGATGACAACTCAAAGTTGGTATAAAACCTTATGCCAAATAATTAAAATTGCTATCCCTAGCAAAAGGTTGCCAAAAGAAGCGTCCATTGTCATAGCACAAGAGAGGAGGCCAGATAATTATGATCTTATTAGTAACACAAACTGGTTCTTTTCAGGCAATCTATTTTCTAACGTTCGCTTTTCTTACTGCTCTCCTCAAAAGATGATTGGCACACAAATTATCTAATGTTCGTATTTTCTTATGAGTCTCTTCAAAAGATGATTGCACACAAATTACTCATCGGGACTACAATGGTAATCACATAATCGGGTCCCGGACTCTGCCAGTACAACAACGCACATTGCTTTACGTCAACATTGTCCTGCCCACTTCTTTAAAACCGTAATTTTATTTGGAGTAATGCCAGAGACTAATTTCAATCTCAACACCAAATAATGTGACGTGATTTACTCTTTTTAATAGTGCATATAATCTCATCAATTAATATGACAATGTTTTAAATAGGAAGAAAGAAGAAAATAGATCAATACTTGAGATGAATTAAAATTAATAGGTCAATAATTTACATAAATTAATAAATAGGTTAAATTACTGTTTTCGTCCATAATTTGTCTGGTTATGAACTATAACTTCACAAATTATTGTCCATAACTTGTCTGACTATGAACCATAACTTGATAAATTTATCTATAACTTATCTGACTATGAACCATAACTTGACAAGTTATGACTTATTAATTTCTATAACTAAAAATTGACCTATATACTTTCATAAACTTTTCATATTGACATATTTTTTACTATTTCCCTTTTAAATATTCATTAGTACACAAAAATAAAACTTCAAATTAGTCCTAGTATTATTCCTTTCTTTTTTCTGTATCACCTTAAATAAATAGAATAGAATAGACGGTAATTTGATATAATAATTTATGCTCTCAAGTACAACATATCGTTCAACAGATGCAAAAAACTCCAAGTCGGTGTCTAAAAGTAAACTTTGGTTAATAACCAAGAAAGATAGAAATATTATCTAAATGATTAAAATAAAAAATACCACCTATTAATAGAGCATAGAATAGCTGCTCTGCTCATACAGGGGGCTTGAAACAATAAACAAGCCATTGATAACCCATTTGGCTTTCGTCATGATCCATAACTAGAAGACTGCCTAAGAAGAGCACCGAAAACAGAGCCCAAAGCCAATCTTTACAAATAGTAAAACACTATCAGCGACTCAATCAGATAAACCAGCCTTTTGCTTCAGGTGCTCCTTGAAGTCCATAATGTCACCCTCCCATCGGGTCACAGCCTGATTTTCACACACCCAAATCTCCTCGGCGACCTGGTTAATGAGCCTGAAATCGTGGCTAACGAGAACCAAACCACCATCCCACTCGTTCAATGCCTCGGCTAGCGAGTCAATTGTCTCAATATCCAAGTGGTTCGTTGGCTCATCCAGGAGGAGCAAATGGGGCTGCCTATATGCTAGCCAAGCAAAGACTACTCGGCTCCTTTGCCCATCTGACAAATTCTTCATCGGCATCACCTGCGCTTTGCCTGACAGACCAAACTTACCAATTGCAGCCCGCATTTTTTCTTCCTCGTTCCCTGGATACTCTTTTATCATATACTGCAGGGCAGGCATTTCCAAGTCAAGCTTCTCAGCCAAGTGCTGATGGAACTGAGCAATCCTAAGATGATTATGCCGTCGGACCATGCCATCAAGAGGAACTAAATCCCCTGTCATCAGCTTCAGCAGCGTACTCTTTCCAGCTCCATTGGGTCCGACCAGGGCAATTCGCGAGTCCAAATCCACTCCAAAATCGAGGTTTTTATAGATAAGATTATCAGGTGTGTAACCAAATGTTACTTCAACAAACTGAAGCACAGGAGGAGGGAGCTTGCCCACATCCACAAAACGGAAGACCAAAACCTTGTCCCTCACAACCTTCTCAGTAAGGCCACCACGCTCCATTTTCGCCAGAGTTTTCTCTTTGCTTTGTGCTTGGCGAGCCAGTTTTGCTGAACCGTGCCCAAACCTGGCTATATATTCCTTCATTGAAGCAATCTGTTCCTGCTCCCACTTGTACTGTTTCATCTGGTTCTCTTCCAGCTCAGAACGGGTCTGAACGTATTGATCATAGTTGCCAGTATAAATCTTCAGTTTCTTGTTTTGCATGTGGATGATGTTTGTGCAGACACCATTCAGAAAGTCCTGGGAGTGGGATATCACAACCAGAATGCGGTCAAAGTTCTTCAGAGTCTCCTCTAACCACACGCAAGCTTCAAGGTCTGCAACCAAGAAAATTAAGTACATAAATACCAAATTCAAATGCATGCCAAATAAACAAAGGACAGTAAGAAACAAACGCCTTGAGACAAGAAATCATTAAATACCAAAAAAGGAGCAACCAAAGATTTCTAAAATTATATATTACCTTACACTGCAAAAAAATAATAATAGTTGCCCAACTGAAGTGTACCTAAACCACCCCACCCCAAAATAAAAATAAAACTAATAGTCATAAATCAATTACTGATGGAAGAATAAAAAAGGACATGGTGATACAGCATTAAAAAACCTACTTACCTTCAGATATGCTATAACAAAAACAACTTAAAATAATAAAGCAATGAAGTTACTGATCAAGACAAAACATCAACTTTTTGTTCATGGAGTTTGGCCAAAAAGAGAAGGACGAGATCAAAATTGCTAGTTCACATTTAAAACTTTGTACTACTGACATAGTTTCTATATTTTTAACAAATGGAGTACTCTTGTCTCTCTTAGAAAGACCCTGTAATTAACCAAATTTAACAAGAGGCAGCGAACCAATGTTAAAAAAATATCAAGAAGATGAAGGACAGATGCCCCCACAACCAAAATGCTAAATTTTCCACATAGTATCCAGCCCATTTGTTTTCAAGCAATAATAGAGGTCCTAATAGTCTCAAACTTTATTGTGCTATACAGAGCATAGATTTAATACCCCAGGAACAAAGAGCCAATTAGATAGGAGTGGGGTGTTCGCAGTCGGTTTGGGCGGTTTTTTTGTAGAAACCATCAACCAAACTAAAAAAAAAAATTTCTTTTGGGCAGTTTGATATTTTTGACAAAAACCAAATTGAACCAAATCACTTATAAACAGTTTGGGCGGTTTAAGCTTAACACTAAAAAAGTTTTCAATAATTCATAAGAATTATAAAATCATTAATCAATAAAAATAAAAATAAGATTTAAGTTTACAATATAAATCAAAAATAACAAATGTCTAACAGTTCACCATTTAAAGTTTTAATACAAACCAATAAAAATATGATAGGGTGTATTTCATATGTGTAGAACCTTTATTATGACCAATAAAAATTAAAATAAATATTAAAAACATTTAAAAATTAAAAAATTATATACGTATAATTTTGGGCTGATTATTGGGCATTTTGGGCAGTTTGGAGAGTCCAATCTAGAAACCAAACAGCCCAAAAAAATTAGATTAAAAAATCGACCAAACCGCCCAATAATCCAAAAAATAATTAGCGATTTGGTTTGGTTTGGTTTGGATTTGGTGGTTTTCGCGGTTTGGCGGATTTTTTGAACACTCCTACAATTAGAAACCTCAATAAAAAATATTATTAGCAAGACATACATAATTCATTTTTTTCACAAGTGAAGCAAGTTGTGTACGTAGGCATTGCTTACCAAGATGATTAGTTGGCTCATCAAGCAAAAGAATGGTTGGTTTGATGAACAAAGCCCTGGCTAAGGCAATCCTCATTCTCCAGCCACCTGAAAAATCTCGAGTTTTCTTTGCCTGCATATGCTTGTTAAATCCAAGACCGTACAATATTTCAGCTGCACGTTTCTCAGCTGTAGATGCATCCATGGCATCCAGACGTTCATAAACACGTTCCAGCTGTTCTCCACCACCATCATCCTGAATCCAAAAGTAACATGAAATTCATAACAAATATCAACTCAAATGCCAAAAGCTCAAAGAACCCAGTTGTTCAACATACCTGTGCTGCCAAGAATTCAGCTTCTTTCTCCAATCTTAACCTCTCCTCATCACAACTAATTACAGCCTCAAGTGCAGACATGTCAGAAGCTTCAATTTCTCGGGTGAGGTGATAAATATCCATGTGTTCTGGAATTGGAAGCTCTCGACACCCTATGGCAGTTAGTAGTGTAGACTTCCCACACCCATTCAATCCAAGCAAACCATAACGCCTGAAAAACAAAAACAAAACAAAACAAAAAACAAAAAACATTTAATATACAATAAACGCAGCCATGAATGAAACATTACCAAAACTAAGCTTCTTTTGACTAACCTGCCATAATTGAGCTCCAGTTCAGTATCCACTATAAGATCATGTCCGTGAAATGTGACAGACAGGGACTCTATCTGCAGTTTATAAAAGGTCGAGTTTATTCTTCATCAACATTCGTTCAATGACGAAAATGGTAAAACAACTACAACATATCATTCACCAAACTCTCATATACAAGTTATTTAGGTTATAACGTACAAAGCCTTACACACCACATAAGAATTGATAAATATTTGAATTTTTGAAAAAGTGTATCCATAATTTCAGGAGAATACTAACCTAAATCAATAATTAGTAGCCCAAAACGAGCACAAAAATTGATAACAGAAATTGATCCTAATACAAATTAAATCAATAGCAGCGTATACCAAACCCTAATCAGAGTAATTCGGTACTTACTCGAATATCTCTGGAAAGAGGATGCGAACAGAGCACGCCAGTGCAAGTCCGATCCGAAATCTGAAGCTCCCCAACTCCATCGGCAAGCTTATCGGCTCCATTTTGCGACTCGGCCGCCGCCTTTGACGAAGCCGCCGCCGCCACCTTACCTCCTCTCTTCGCCGCCGCGGCAGCCTTCTTCTGCGCCGCCTTCTTCTTACTCGCGTCCGACACCATCCTTTATCTTAACCTGTTCCCAACCAAAAAGATCAGAGCCACAAATCAGAACGATCGAAAAGCGGAAACACTCAAAACCCTAGGAGGATTCAAATCAGAAGAGGAACCTACCGAGATTGCGTGATGCGATCTGTGGTCGGCGATCGATCGGCAACGAGCGCTGGGAAACGAGCAGAGGAAGATCTAGGGTTTGTCGAGTCTGTTACGGCTTTGTGTGGTTGAAGAGTCAAATGGAGTTCAAAGGGAAACCCAGCGGACGAGAGAGTTGGAGGTTTAGAGGAAGAACAAACGAGGGGTGTGAGGGAGAATTTATAGGGAAGAGTGGGTTCCACGTGTTCCGGTGGGAGTGCTTGTTCGGAACTAGGGCACCTGTTACTCTTCCAATTTTTTTTAGAAAAAGAAAAAAAAAAAAAAAAGAATTAAATGAAGGGCACTTGTTACTTGCGTATTTAATCACAACTTTTTTCATCCCTCGGATTCTCGTTTGGAAAAGGATCTTGTTAGGTCGGTCGGTGTCTTTTTTATAGTGGGCCGAAAGTCTTCACTAGATTGGGCTATTGACCCAAAAAGCCCGTCTAATTTATATGGGCCGAATGCGTTGCAGGTTGGCCAACAAAAAAGTAGCTGGTTAAACTTTGCTTATTGTGCTGTCTTTCAGCTACGATATCAAAGAATGCTTTCCTTTCTTCGTCTCTCGTCCATAGGTCGGTGAAAGAAATTTCGCTTTTTTTATTTATTTATTTATTTATTTATTTATTTATTTTTAAATGATTCTGTGTATAAGATGTTGAATTCCATTCCTTTTTTTTCTACCTTTTATAAGAAGGGGCTTGTTTTTATTATGCTTCATTTTGTTATGACCGCATGCTGTTTGATGAAATTACCGTTAGAATAGTGGTTATTATTTATTTATTTTGATTGCTTTTCCTGAGCAAATTACCCAAGGTGCTTGTCTGTGGATTGTATTCATTATTTAATTGGAATTTGGTCAATTGGGTTTGTTTTGATTCGTATCTAAATGGGTGCAAACTGTTTTGATTGCTTTGCTTTGCTATTTAGAAAGAGTTAAATTGAAGAACGAAACGACAAGATCTTTGAACTGAAAAGATCTTGTGAAATCCCATATTCAACATTTGGCAAGGTTTAGGCTGCATCTGTTGTTTTTTGTACTTAAGCTGTACATTTCTCCATCATTTTCAGAGAAATGATCACTGAGATCACTTTGTTCAATTTCTACTTTATAGAATGAACTCCTGAGAGTTTTATCTCTCTATGTGAAGTATGTATATCTGTAGCTACGGTGTAAATTTTACTTTTTATGTTACATGATTATTGGGACCTTTTGAAGTGAAGTGAACCGCCCATCTGTTTATATTTGACATGGAAGTTGTACACTTTTAGGGACCTTGGGATGAACAATATTTTACTTCCTTTTTTGTTTTATTTGGCTGGTTGGTTGTGGTTTAGTGATTTCGTTTTACATAGTTTTGAGGATTTTTTTTGGTTATTAGTGTGTGTGTATGTATGTGTATGTGTATGTGTATGTGAATATATATATATATATATATATATTGAATGGCTTGTGGTGGCCATGCTAACATAACTGGCTAAATTGTTGTGGTGATTATGTTTAAGGGATTGTTTGGTATAGGATGGTAAATCTAGTATTAAGGATTGGATCCCTTTTCCTCCTTGGTGTGCAATATTGGCAATTTCTCATGCTTTCATTATTCGTCATCCTATAAAGGATTATTCTGAGGGTTATGTGGGATTTGATAAATTGGAACTCTGACAGTTTGTGGATTAGCCCTAGTCGGTAATTCGGGTGGTAATCTACTTTGTGATAAGGTTCAGTTTTATCTTTGTACTTTGTAGTGGTTTTAGTGAGCTCTGGTATCTTACTCTTTTATGTTTTGGATTTTGCCTTGCTATTTGGTCTATTATCCGTAATTTGAATTTCTTGGGCCTCTCTTTTATACTGTAGACATGTAATGAGGAATACTTTGTTTATTTTCTTTTATTTATGTTATTCTGTTTGGTGTTGTTTAGCAAAGCGATGGAAGAGTGTAGTTTTGGTTGTTTAGCAAAACGATATTTTGTTTTGGTAGTTTAGCAACATTGGCATCTATATATATATATATTTTGTTTCTCCTCTTCTTTGGAGGTTTTGGGATAACTTATAGTTTTGAGACGATAGTTACTTATTCGAATGTAATTCTGAATCTAATGGATCTTTTTGTAGTTAATGCAGAGAATAGGAGTGTTAAATAATGACAGTATTGAAACGATATGTGCTGCGGTTGTTCATATCACTGAAGTACATTACAGCCAATGTGGTAGATCGGAACAATGGAAGAATTGTTGCAACGGCATCAACAGTTGAGCATTCGATCAAGAACTCGCTCGAGTGCGGTCGGTCTTGCAATGCAAAGGCCGCCACAGTTGTGGGAGAGGTGTTGGCCATGCGACTTAGGGTGGAAGGCCTTGAGCAGGGACAAGGAAGAGGGATTCATGTTGATGTGGACAAAGAGATTGAGAAGAAAGGTTTTAAGAACCGGACCAAGATTTGGGCTATTGTCAATTCACTTAAGAACAACGGAGTTAAACTTGTTCTAGAAGACAATGATAAAAATCCATCCCGGCCAAGTTTCTAACTCTCTTTTTCATTTAAGTTTGGCCATTTTTCCTTTCTCGTGTTTGTATATGAGAGATGATGATTATCCAATTCGCTAAAAGATTATAGATTCATATTCTCAGGAAAAACACATGGGAAAGCCAGAGAGAGAGCATGAAGGAAAAGTCTATTATGGTCCAATTATGTTTGCTAAGCATATGTTCTAAACCAGAAAGTGAACTTGGAAAAACATTTTTCTTTCTCATCCTACATGAGGTCACGAAATTTACACATCCATCTTTAGAAACTCTGCTACTGCCTACTGGGCTTAAAGGTGCTTATACAAACACTCTTGAATTTAGTTGTTTTTTTTTTTTTTTTTTTTTTTTTTTTAAAAAAAAAAAAAAAAAAACAGCAAAGAAAAGATGATTTTTTTTTTTTTTTTTTTTTTTTTTTTTTTTTTTTAAACAAGTAAGCTTTCATTGAAACAAGGTACAAAATGGTCACAAATGGTCAGTATTATTAAGATCTGATCTGAGGAGTAAATAGGAGTCCTCAGATCTTAATAAAAATTCGCTTGAGGTTAAGGACTAAATCTGAAAATCTCAGCCGAAAATGTTTGAGATTTTTTCCCCCTTTCTCTTGTTGGCTGAATCCAAAGCACTAAAAAATGGTCAGTGTTGCAGTTGCCTAAAGGAACTAGAGCTTAATCAATCAGCCCTCTGAGCATATGTGCAACTAGAAGTGATTGCCAAACACAAAAGATCAATAATAATAAGGGTGGTAAAATTATGAAAAATGTTTTTAGAAAAAGAAAAACAAAGAAGAGAAAATGCTGTATAAGTGTGGCGTTTAGTTTTAGAGATCTGAGTTTTGCAGTATTATTTAGGGAAATCCATAGTACCATCTAATATTCAGGTCCATAGTTCTAATATCAGCAACTCCATTAAAAAGAAAACAAAATGTCTTTTAGTTGCATATTCATTTCGCTTGTACGTTTGCATGATAACTCGTTTTATATCTCTACTTGAGCATGATACCAAGTTTATACACTCAATAGTAAATATATAGAGGAAAAAAAAAATGCGAAGTGCTGGTCGGAATTATAGCCTTCAAAATTTAGGTGTTTTAATAGTATCACTTCTCTCACTCTCTTTGTCACCGGCTACTGAGGAACCGCAAATCTGTCCTTGCACGCTGGTGACCAAGGAACTAGGAGACCGCCAATAAGTGACGTCGTCGCCATCCAAATCCTTACTCGTTTGGTGACGATCATAGAATCGCCAACGAACACGACGCCATAAGATCCATCCCCGTGTGCTGGCGGCCATGGACACAAGCAGATATGTTTTTAGTTTTAGTCATGTTGTGTTTGTCAGTGTCCGACTCAATCCATCAACATCTGCCAATGACTATTAATACATCGGTATTTTGGTTTTTTTTTTTTTGGGTTGATTTGGAAAGTTACTCTAGTGTAACACTGATAGTTATCTACAAGATTATTACGACGACAAGAACTAGAGATGATTGGTAATATGTGTTGAATTCGAGAATTAATATAGAAGCTAATTAATGGTATTCTACTAGACTGCTAGTGCTCTATTCTATGTTCAAAGAAGGTAACATAATCTAATAGATTACTGGTAGCAATCTAGTAGATTACTCTAACAAAGACCGGTCACTTTTGATTCCAGTGGCATCATCCATTGGCATTCGGCGTGAACAACCGGCGGGGCAATTTTGGTAAAAATACATGTTATCAACTCTTGATCGTTCTTTAGAAGGGCATTCTTGAGTTTTTCTCATGTATAAAGACCTCATTCATTTCATCGATTCGAGTTTTGTTACAGTAAAAAGTTATCAGAAATAGTCACATCTAACTTTTTTACTACAATCTCATGTAAAGTCACATCTCAGCTCAAATAAAAACTCGAATCAACAAATTAAACGGGCCCAAATCTCAATATATAACAACTAGCAAGGAAAAAAAAATGGTTACAGAATTTCCAAATGAGTTTCCCTGTGTCGACCATCTTATCTTCTTTGGGACCATTAGTCATGACTCATGAGTTACCAAGTTTGAAGCGGTCCAATTTGGTGTCCAACACAGTTAAATACCCACAGCAGTCTCATATAGTAGTACAGTAATAAAGTTTGTTCTTCTTGTAATTGACAAAGTGACACCATGAAAAAGACTTCTGGGTGGGGTCGTATATCACAATTAGGGTAGCTTTTTCCTGTCCAAAATAGAATTTCTGTGTGAATATGAAGAAAATGGAAGAAGGGGAAAAAAAAAGTGTTAACAAGCTTTGAAATTTTGGTGCCAATAAGTGTCTTGTCGTCAGCTTTCATGGCCCTGCCTTTTCTAAGACGCACCACCAATAGACCGTACAGCAATCAACAGGTTGCTTGTGCGCACATCATATTTTCACTTAGGGATTATTTAGTTAAAAAATTCGTACTCCGATTAAAATTATAATTCATAATTTATTATAATATTTTTTTTTATAAAAAATACACATAAATTAAAAATAATTTTAATTTCATAATTTTAATTTATAAATCAAAGATCTCTTTAATTATCTCTGTAACCTATCAAGAAATTGACTTTATCTTTTTGTAAATTACATTAGAAAAAGGAAAGAAAAAAGTAACACGTCTACGGACATATATATTTTACACGAACTGAGGCAGAAAGTTAACGAAAAGTTCGACCTGAAATAACTACACTGCGGAAAATTGAGATACGACAGCAGTATTTGTCAAATCTGAGAAAATCTGAATAGTTTTGATGATAACCAATTGCGTGGAAAACGATGATTTTGCCAGTATTTTCAACAGAAACATTGAAATGATTGAGCAAATATGAAAAGGAAAAACAATTAAAAATAGCTCCCTTTTCCATTTTAAACCATTTCAGGTGCCCCATGACAATTGCTTCCTTCCAAAAATTAGATAAATTTTCTTAAACGCGTGCTTTTGCATATTATCCGTTTATCTTTACATTAATGTAAAAAAAAAAAAATATATATATATATATATATTTTCACGTTGTATCTTAATATAGCATACAATAATAATGGTGATGATGGTGATGGTGGTGAATATACCATGCAATTTATCTTTAATACTACATGTAATACAGCTTATTAAAGTGTGTAAAAAAGAAAGAAAAAAAAAAAGTTATGGAGTGCCTCTTTCTGTACCTTTTTTCACTGCCCTTTATGAATTAGATATAAGTGCACTAGTGTACTTTGGACTTTGAAGATTCTTTCATCCAAAACATAAATGATTTGGGCCATATTCATTCCTTTTATTAGTGCTGATCATTCTCCCAGGAATCAAACTCTAAAACAACCTCTCTAATGTCCTTGAACTGGTTTCTTCGAAGTCAAATTTAAAGGAATATGTGCCTTGCCTTTCCTCTAGCCATCATCATGACTTAAATTGCAAGTTGCATTGGTCCGTTGATTTTACCGAATTGAATTTAAAATTTGAGTTTAGTTACAGTAAAAAGCTCTCAAAAACAGTCACATTTAATTTTTTTGTTATAATAAAAAATTCTCACATAAAGTCATATTTCAACTCAAATCGACGAACTAAACGAATACACATACATAATTGGACTAAAAAACCAGCATAATATGCAGTTAAATATATGTTAATGATACTTTATGACATAATTTATGTTTGTAATTTGTTAACTAATTGTCCTTATTGCGCCACTTAATTAATTAAAGAGAAAGGTACTAAACTGATTACTAACCACTTGCTTTGAATCCAATAAAGGTAAACACGTATGGTGACATTCAACAAAAAAGAGAAAGGAAAAGCATGTTTTGGAAAGTCAAGTGGTAGGAAAAGAAACAAAAATATGAAAAAGCACTTTTTTCTTCAACAAAAATAAAGTCCTTTTTTTCCTCTTTCATGCGTCCACCGTAAGGCTCACATGGGGTTGAGCTCATTCAATCATCACATCTATAGGAAAGAAGGGGAAAAAGATATAAAATAAAGAGAAGATTCCAAAAGAAACCCTTTGATCACATGCATTTGGAATCTCGTATAATTACCATATATACTCGTATTCTTTTTGCTGGAAACCATATACTAATTCGTATTTGTCTGTACAACAAAAAAAACACACACATACACAACTACTTCTATTCTTACGTAAAAAAATCCCAATGGGGACCAAAAATTAATTCATTGTTTAATGAGGTTGACTATTTTTTAGGTCCTTGATTGGATATGGAATATTCTCGAATTCTATTTAAATAATTTTCTTCTACACCTGCCGACTCATGTCATTTTCCTGTTCACCCAATAATAAGGAAATTTTGGAGTGTAGCAGAAGTAAAGAAAATTTGGAATTTGCTAGCAGTGTAAAATGATTTGGTTGCTACCGAAGAAAAATTTTTGTCACCCAAAAAGAGAGTTATAAATATTTGAAAAAACTATTTTTGTTCCTGCCCTTTTCCCCCACCCTTTCTGGAAGGTTCGTGTCTCTTTCTTAAGGGCCAAAAAAAAAAAAAAAAAAGGTAAAGGTTCAAGGATGAGTTATCCAAAAAAAAAAGGTAAAGGTTCAAGGACGAGTTATACATATATATATATATATATGTATGTGTATAATGTGACATGCATCCATGCCATAGCATGGCATTCCCAAGCATCATAATGATGATTATCCATGATGATTTTACACGTTCGTCTCTAATATTTTATATTATATAGTAAATAATTGATTAACACACGCGCAACCTACACGGCTAATCTAAACGATACAGCTCGTGCATGGTCGTGGTGCTTCTTTAATGTTTTTCCCTTTTAAGGAATTACATGCATGCCGCACGTACTTGCACATATTCTCATTCGGTAAAAATAAATAAATAAATAAATAAATAAATTAGAGACTGGTAATTAAGGAATAAGTGGTAATACATATTTATTCTACGTTTTTTGTCATGTCAAATTAGATTAGAGAAATTCTTTTCCACGTTCACTAAAGAGAGAAGAAAAGAAGAGAAACGCCTTTATATGATTTACTTTACTGATAGTGGGTTTACTTTGTAGTACTGTAACTGTTTTCTTTCAACTTTCTATTTTAGAAAATAGGTACATATGGCATTAAATTTTTTTTTAATTCCAATAA